TCTGTCTCAAAAAAAAAAAAAAAAATCCAAGACTTAACTTGGTACAGGGAGTGAAAGAAACCTTATGTTCATTCGACATTCGTATTTTAAGTTCCTACCATATGTCTGTTACTAATGGAGCTGTCTTTTAAATGTTTAACCAGAAAACAACAAAATTCTGGCCAAAATGAAGAAGCAAAGAATCAGCTTTTGGAAGTAGAAGTGACTAAGACACCGGAAAGGTGTCTCTTGCATCCCGACTGCGTTTGGGGCTTTGTTAATGAGTCACGTTAATCATTTCTTGATTGACTAGAAATAAAGTTCCATAAAAGGTAACTGGAAAAATAGTCATAGTTCCAAAATTATCTACTGACTTTTCAATGGGCTGGGGAGAAAGGATGTCTGCTCACGTGTAGCTCACATTGGTACCAAGTGACCGGAGGCTCGTCACTCACTGAGCAATGTGAGGACAGGAGGGCTCTGCCTCCTGCAGCTGATGTGTTTCTGAAAAGCGATTTGTAAATCCAGTTTTTTGGTGACCAGAGTGAGTGCTTTTGTCAGTGGCTGTTGACTATCTCATTAATCTTCGTAAATGCAGATTTTCATTGTGTGTTTCCTTTAAAGGGTTATACACCCTGCAGGTGGATTTCTGTTTAATCCCTATTCTGTGACTCTCATAAAAACAGCATCACTTGGCAGTTCTACCCTGAGCTTATGATGCCCTCGTCCAGGGTTTCTAAAGCTCTGGGACACATTTGCTCTCTGTTCCCAAGAGACATTGAGAAGTGACGCTCCCTGAGAAAAAGATGAGAGAAAGTAATTTTATATTTAGTGAGATAATTCCAGTAGCTACAGTTGCTGATTCAGTCTTTTGTTGGACAGTAAATCCACTGACTTAAAAATATTCCCACATATTAAAATAAAAATAATGCAATAATTTTTGGTCATAGTTTGCCACTGCTGTTCTAAGACTAGACGGCCATATTTCTGCTGCATGCTCTCCTGGATACTAAGGCTTCCCTGTAAAGAATTATGACAACAGCTTATGTCACTGTTCACGCAGCAGGTTGGCCTTTGGCAGGCTATAGCTGAGAGTGTACTGATTCCTGCCCTTGACCCGTGGGGTTAAGGTCTCCACCTGCTCTTTCTGTCTATAACGCTTCTTCAGTTGTCCCTAGCTGTGTTCCTTGCTGCCTTTGTTACACATACAATGACAAAGCGCTGTGGTTTTCTTTCTTCCATTCCCAACTTCAGCTCAATTCATTTTTTTATCCACTTAAAACTCATATGTATTGTTGAGTGAGGAAACCACTGCCTATTGCGTGTC